CCAACCTTGCATCCCTGATATGAAAACCACTTGATCATGATGGATTATCTTTTTGATATGCTGCTGGATTCAGTTAGCTAGTATTTTGTTGAGGATTTTTGCATCTATATTCATCAGGGATATTGGTCTGTAGTTTTCTTTTTTTCATTATGTCCTTTCCTGGTTTTGATATTAGTGTGATACTGGCTTCATAGAATTATTTAGGGGAGGATTCCCTCTTTCACTGTCTTGTGTAATCGTGTCAATAGGATTGGTAGCAATTCTTCTTTGAATGTCTGGTAAATTCAGCTGTGATTCCATCTGGTCCTGGACTTCTTTTGTTGATAATTTTTTTATTACTATGTTAATCTTGCTGCTTGTTGTTAGTCTGTTAGAGTTTCTAAATTTTCCTGATTTAAGCTAGGAGGGTTGTACCTTTCCAGGAATTTATCGATTTCCTCTAGGTTTTCTAGTTGGTGCATGCAAAGGTGTTCATAGTAGTCTTGAATGATCTTTTGTATTTCTGTGTTGTTGGTGCTAATATTTCCTGTTTTGTTTCTAATTGATTTTATTTGTATCTTCTTTCCTTGATTAAGATTGCTAATGGTCTATCAATTTTATTTATCTTTTTGTTTAATTTATCTTTTGTATTTTTTTGTTTTAGTTTCATTTAGTTTTTCTCTAATCTTGGTTATTTCATTTCTTCTGCTGTGTCTGGGTTTGGTTTGTTTTTGTTGCTTGAGGTGTGATCTTAAATTGTCTATTTGTGCTCTTTCAGTTTTTTTGATGTAGGCATTTAAGGCTGTGAAGTTTCCTCTTAGCACCACCTTTGCTGTATCCCAGAGGTTTTGATAGGTTGGGTCACTATTATTCAGTTCAAAGAATTTTTAAATTTCCCTCCTGACTTTGTATGTAAACCAAAGATCATTCAGGAGTAGGTTATTTAATTTTCATATATATGCATGGTTTTGAAGGTTCCTTTTGAAGGTTTCTATTATTTTATGATATTTGAAGGTTTCTATGATTTTTAAAGAAATCATAGATAAACAAATGGAAATACATTCCATGATCATGGATGGGTAGAATTAATATTGTGAAAATGATCATACTGCCAAAAGCACTCTACAGATTCAATGCAATTCCCATCAAAATCCCACCATCATTTTTCACAGAACTAGAAAAAGCCATCCTAAAATTCATATGGAACCAAGAAACCTGCATAGCCAAAGCAAGACTAAGCAATCCTGTTACATGGATTCCACTTAATCCCCTGGAATAAAAGTGTATTCCCAGTTTTATTCCACTTGGTCTGTGATAGTACTTAATATTTCAATTTTCTCAAATTATTTAGGCTTGTTTTGTTGCCTGTTATATGGTCTATCCTGGAGAAAGTTTGATGTGCTGATGAGTAGACTGTATATTCTGTAGTTGTTGGGCAGAATGTTCTGTAAATATTAGTCAAGTCCATTTGCTCCAGGGTATAGTTTAAATCCATTGTTTCTTTGTTAACTTTCTGTCTTGAGGACCTGTCTAATGCTGTTAGTGGAGTATTGAAGTCCTCCACTACTATTGTTTTGCTGTCTGTCTCATTTCTTAGGTCTAGTAGTAATTGTTTTATAAATTTGGGAGTGCCAGTGTTAGGTGCATATATGTTTAGGATTGTAATATTTTCCTATTTGGCAAGGCCTTTTATTATTATATAATGTTCCTGTTTGTCTTTTTTAACTGCTGTTGCTTTTGGTATAAGGATAGTTGCTCCTGCTCACTTTTGGTGTCCATTTGGATGGAATGTCTTTTTTTACTATTTTGCCTTAAGTTTATGTGAGTCTTTATGTGTTAGGTGAGTCTCTTAAAGGCAATAGTTACTTGGTTATTAATTTTTTTTAATGTAGTTTCATCCCTGTCACCCAGGCTGAAGTGCAGTGGTGCAATCTCACCTCACTACCACCTCTGACGCCTAGGTTCAAGCAATTCTTCTGCCTCTGCCTCCTGAATAGCTAAGATTACAGGTGCCTGCCTCCATACCCAGCTAATTTTTTTATTTTTAGTAGGGAAATAACTAAGATCAGAGCAGAACTGGAGGAGATAGAGACATGAAAAACACTTCAAAAAAATCAATGAATCCAAGAGTTGTTTGTTTTGAAAAGATCAACAAAGTAGATAGACCACTAGCCAGACTAATAAAAAAGAAGAACAAGAAGAATCAAACAGACACAATAAAAAAAGATTAAGGGGATATCACCACTGATTCCACAAAAATACAAACTACCATCAGAGAATGCTATAAATACCTCTACGCAAATAAACTAGAAAATCTGGAAGCAATGGATAAATTGGTGGACACATACACCCTCCCAAGACCAAACCAGGGAGAAGTCAAATCCCTGAATAGACCAATAACAAGTTCTGAAATTGAGGCAGTGATTAAGAGCCTACCAACAAAAAAATCCAGGACCAGACAGATTCACAGCCGAATTCTACCAGAGGTACAAAGAGCAGCTGGTACCATTCATTCCGAAACTATTCCAAACAGTAGAAAAAGTGGGAATCCTTCCTAACTCATTTTATGAGGCTGAATGAATCTTATCTAACACATATGATGCTTTGGTATCGTCCTGATACCAAAACCTTGCTGAGACACAACAAAAAAGGAAAATTTAAGGCCAATATCCCTGATGAACATCAATGCAAAAATCCTCAGTAGAATACTGGGAAACCAAATCCAGCTGCACATCAAAAAGCTTATTCACCATTATCGAGTCAGCTTCATCCCTGGGATGCAAGGCTGGTTCAACATATGCAAACCAATAAACGTAATCTATCACATAAACAGAACCAATTACAAAAACCACATGATTATCTCAACAGATAAAAATTTGATAAAATTCAACACACCTTCATGCTAAAACTCTCAATAAATTAGGTACTGTTGGGATGTATCTCAAAATAATAAGAGTTATTTATGAAAACCCCACAGTAAATATCATGCTGAATGGGCAAAGGCTGGGAGAATTTTGGGTTGTCATAAATAGCTCTATCCATCCAAATTCCAACTCTATCACATGATGCTTCAATAGCTCCCTTTCACTGTCAGGTTAAAATAAAAACACATTAGGATAGGTTACAAGCCTCCTTTAATTTAGTTGTTTTCTATGTCACCATTGAAAACCGGCATAAGACAAAGATGCCCTTTCTCACCACTCCTATTCAACATGGTATAGGGCAGTCGGGCAAGAGAAAGAAATAAAGGGTATTCAATAGGAAGAGAGGAACTCAAATTGTCTCTGTTTGCAGATGACATAACTGTATATTTAGAAAACTCCACTGTCTCAGCCCCAAATCTCCTTAAGCTGATAAGCAACTTCAGCAAAGTCTCAGTATACAAAATCAATATGCAAAAATCACAAGCATTCCTATACACCAATAATAGACAGAGAGCCAAATCATGAGTGAACTCCCATTCGCAATTACTACCAAGCGAATAAAATAGCTAGGAATACAACTTACAGGGTATGTGAAGAACCTCTTCAAGGAGAACTACAAGCCACTGCTCAAGGAAATAAGAAAGGAACAAATTGAAAAACATTCTATGCTTATGGATAGGAAGACTCAACATCGTGAAAATGGCCATACTGCCCTAAGTAATTTATAGATTCAATGCTATCCCCATCAAGCTACCACTGACTTTCTTCACAGAATTGAAAAAAACTACTTTAAATTTCATATGGAACCAACACAGAGCCTGCATAGCCAAGACAATCCTAAACAAAAAGAACAAAACTGGAGGCATCACGCTCCGTGACTTCAAACTATATTACAAGTACAGTAACAAAAACAGCATGGTACTGGTACCAAAACAGACATACAGACTAATGGAACAAAACAGAGGCCTCAGAGACTATCTAAGGATATCTAAGGAAGGGTGATTTTCTAAAGAAGGGTGTGAAATTCTGTGCTATCATCAATGTAGAATTTGAAATATGGAAGACAAATGTTTATTGTATATTATTCAGGATTTTGTTCAGCATCTGAAAATAACATGAAACCTAACCAACAGAGGCTTAAAAGGGGATTATGTATTTCAGAGATTCAACAATGTCATAAAAATCTAGGCTTCTCTATCTTTCTGATCTCTTATGTGGAGAAGGTGGTTTTTGTCCTTATATCCAGGCAGAAAAAAAAGGTGGAAAGATAAGAAAGAGAAGTACATATATCAGTAAATTGAAAACTTTTTCATAAATCCTTAGCTTGTATCCTCTTACTCAAATTGATCACATATTCATCCTGAGCTGTAAGGAAGCCACAGAAGCAACACTTTTTAAAAACAATATAAACCCAAACAAAATGGTGCTTATGTTGGTAAGGAGGAAGAAAAAATGGACTTTGGAAGGCAACTGGCTGTGTCTTTAGTCTTGAGCTTTTAAATTTTGTTGTTTGTCCTGATACTTAGTTATTTTTAGAATACAAATCACACATTCCTCTGTACAGTCCTTCAATAGCTCACTTTCATTGTCAGGATAAAATAAAAACACATTAGGATAGGTTACAAGCCCCCTTTAATCCAGTTATTTTCTACTTCACCATCTATATCTTTTCCCATTTCCCCATAACGATCCTTCCATATTAGAGTATTTGCATTCCCCTGATTGATCTGACCACACTCACATTTCATTGCCTCTGAACAGGCTCAAATATATGTTCTGCTTCACATGTTTGTTCCCATCTCTCACGCCCTCTGGCCAACTTCCATTTCCACTTCAATGCTCAAGTGTAACAATCTTTTTACTGAGTAGTTTTCCCAAAGTCAGAGTTAAATACCCTCTCTTTCAGTGCTCTCACAAAAACTAATGTGTACTTATAACACTCTGCATTAGAAACACACACTGAATTAGATAGAGTTTGCTTATCTGCCTCTTCTCTTAGACTGAACTGGCAGAGTGTACAGGTTCAGGAAATGTTTGCTAAATCAATGAATGAGGTCAACTCTATCACATGATGCTTCTAATAACATTATTTTAAAATATAGAAAGCAAATGTTGGGAAAATTATAAAGAAAGTCAACAAATCCACTATCCTTGTGGGAGATTTTATTACCCTCCATCAGCATTTGCTAGATTAAATAAATATCCCAAAATCAGTAAACTTGTACAACACTTGAACATGATTAACAAATTTAACTTAGTAGACATATATGAAACACAGTAAAATAACTGCAGAACACGCATGTTTTCATGCAGACTTTTGACAAGTATAAAATTTGACCATTTAGCTGGTCATAGAGCATGTCGAAACAAATTCAAAGAATGAGATAACACAGAAAATGTACTCTCACAACAACGCAACAATAGTAGAAATTAATAACAAAATCTAACTAGAAAATCTCTTATAGCTATAGGTTTTCATTTAAGAATATGATACATTTTGAGTTAACTTTTGTATTTTGCATGAGGCATGGATCAAAGTTCTTTTTAAAAGATGGATATCCACTCTTACAGCAGTTTGGTTAAAAGCTTTTCCTTCCTTCACTTAAAATGTACCTTTGAACCTTTTGCACCTTTGCCAAGAATCAACTGAAAATATATGTATGGGTTTATTTCTGGCTACGTGTCTGTCTTTACACCAAAAGCATACTATCTTAATTACTGAAGCTTTATCATAAGTCTTTAAATCAAGCAGTATATATGTTACAACTTGCTTTTTCTTTTTCAAGGTTGTGTTAGCTATTCTTTCTAAGTCCTTTGCATTTCTATGTGAATTTTAGCTTGTCAATGTTACAAAAAAAAAGTAATGTAATTTTGCTTGGGAATGCATTAATCTATAGATAAATTTTGGGAAGAAGTGACATCATAACAAAATTCGTCTTCTGATGCATGAACATGGCTTATCACTTCATTAATTTAGCTCTTTGTTAACTGTTTTTTTCTTTTTTTTTTTGGAGATGGAGTCTTGCTTTTTCACCTAGGCTGGAGTGCAATGGTGCGATCTTGGCTCACTGCAACCTCCACCTCCAGGGTTCAAGCAATTCTCCTGCCTCAGCCTTCTGAGTAGCTGGGATTAAAGGCATGCGCCACCACGCCCGTCTAATTTTTGTATTTTCAATGGAGACAGGGTTTCACCATGTTGGTCAGGCTGGTCTTGAACTCCTGACTCAGGTGATCAGCCTGCCTTGGCCTCCCAAAGTTCTGGGATTACAGGCATGAGTCACGGAACCACCATGCCACCATGTTAACTTCTCACAGCAATATTTTATAGTTTTAAGTTTACAGGTCTTGAACCTCTTTTGTCACATTTATTCCTAAATATTTAATATATTTGATGCTATTGTAAGTTGTGCTTTAAAAATTTGAGTGCACAGACTAGAACTTCCAGTAAAATACTGAATAGAAGCAGTGAAAGCAATCATTCTTATCAGGTTTCTGATCTTAGGAAGAAAGAATTTGATCTTTCACCACTTGCTAGCCTAGGGGGTTTTTGTAGATGTCTCACATTTGGATGAAGAAGTTCCCTTCTATTCCTAGATGAAAGTTGTTTTAAAATCAGGAATGAAATTGGATTTTGGGAAATAATTTTCTGCATCTATTGGGATGATTATGCTTTCAATATTTTATCCCCTTAATATGGTAAATTACAATACATTGATTGCTTTTCAAATGTTAAGATAACCTTGCATTTCTGATATAAGCCCTACTTGGCAATGATGTATTATCCCTTTTATACATTATTTAATTTGATGTGTTAGCATTTCATTTAGAATTTTTGCATATATGTTAGTAATTGATATTGGTTTATAGATTTCTTTTTCTTTTTCTTTTTTTTTTTTTTGAGATAGAGTCTTGCTCTTGGACCCAGGCTAGAGTACAATGGCACAATCTCAGCTCACTGCAACCCCTGCCTCCCGGGTTCAAGCAATTGTCCTGCCTCAGCCTTCCGAGTAGCTGGGATTACAGGTGCTGGCCACCACACCCAGTTAGTGTGTGTGTGTGTGTGTGTATATATACTTTTAGTAGAAATGGGGTTTCACCATGTTGGCCAGACTGGTGTCGAACTCCTGACCTCAAAACAGATGATCCACCCATCTCAGCCTCCCAAAGTGCTGGGATTACAGGTGTGAGCCACTGAGCCTGGCCTGTAGATTGTTTTCTTGTAACATCTTTGTCTGGTTTTGGTAACAGAGTAATACTTGTTCCATAGAGTGAATTAAGATGTATACCCCCATCTTTAACTTTCAGGAATACTTTGTGTAGACTTGATATTATTTTTCTTAAATATTTGGTAGAATTCATTAGTGAAGCCATCTGTACTTGGAGTTTGTGCCCCAATCCTAGGCAAAAATTTGTTAGATATGACAACAAAATCATGATTAAAAAAATGATAAATTGAATTTTGTTAAAATTAAGAAAAGAACTTCTGTTTTTTGACAGCCAGTATTAGTAGAATGAAAGACAAACCACAGATTGAATGAATATATTTGCAAATAACGTATCTGATAAAAGAACAGTATTCATATAAAGAACTCTCAAAATGCAATAATGAAAACAGAGAACCCAATAAAAATGGGCAAAATGTTTGAACAGATATATCACCAAAAAAAGATACATGGATGGCAAGTAGGCATAGAAAAAGATGCTCAATATTACTAGTTGTTAGCTAAATGTAAATTATTACCATAATAAAATACTATTATTACACATTTGTTAGAATATCTAAAATTAAAAATATTGATTATACTAACGTACCGATGAGAGTGTGGAACAACTAGAAGCATCATACTGTTGGAAATGTAAAATGTTAGACTATTTTAGGAAAACAGTTTAGCAATTTCTTTAAAAATTAAACATATATATCTCATATAATCCAGTCATTCTACCCCTAGGATTCACCCAAGTTAAATAAAAGCATAAAATCATACAGAGACTTGTACATGAATATTCACAGTAGCTTTACTATAATAGTCAAAATTGGAAATAATGTAAATATTGATCAACAGGTGAATGTATAAACATAGCCATAGTCAATACTACTCAACAATTAAAACCAGTGAACTCTTGATGCATGAAACAACACTAATTAATCTAAAAATAATTATGCAGAGTGAAAGAAGCCATACCAAAAGAGAATACATACTGCTTGAGCCCGTTATTTAAATTAAATGAAATACAAATTATAGTATAGTGACAGCAAGCAGACATATCATTGACTAGGACTGGGTGGGCAAAGAGGGGCATGAGGGAAAGATTCCAAGGGAGCAAAAGGAAACTTTTTAAGGTGATGAATATGTTCATTATTATAATTAGAGTGATGGCTTCATGTGTACATAAATTTAAAAACTTATTACACACTGAAATATGTCAATTATCTTCAATAAAGCTGATAAAATATTAAATACATCACAAATACTGTAAAGAAAATAAAAAGTCTAACCATTTGTGGTGGTTAATTTCAGGTGTCAACTTTACTAGATTGAGGAATGCTTCTGAATGTGTCTGTGAGGGTTCCAGAGGAGATTAAATGCGAGTCAGTGAACTGAAAGAAGACAACCCACCCTCAATGTGGGCAGGCATCATCCAATCAGTTGGGGGCCTAGAGATGAGACAAAACGGGGAAAAAAAGAGGTGATTGGTGATTCTCTCTGTCTGTCTCTATCCCTCCCTCTCTCCTTCCCCCACACTCCTTTCCTGGAGCAGGATACTTTTTCTCCTTCTGCCTTTGGACACAAGATTCCAAGTTTTTCAGCTTTTGGACTCAGCAACTTGCACCAGAGGTTTCCCAGGGCTCTGGTACCTGACTGGGAAGCTGTACTGTCAGTTTCTCTGGTTCTGAGGCTCCTGAACATGGATTGAGCCACTCCTGGATTCTCTTCACCTTAGTGATACTGTGAGCCGATTTCCCATAATAAATCCCCTTCCATATATCCTACTGGTTCTGTTTCTCTTAGAGAACTCTGATTAATACACCATGAATGGGGAGAAGATAATTGCTACATATATAGGCTACAAAAAGTAAGGATGTAGTAAATAGGCAGAGCCCCTAAGAATCAATAAGAAAAATGTTAACAACTCAATACAGAAGTAGGTAAAAGTAATGGAGAGAAATGTCACATAAGTGGCTCTCAAACATATGAAATTTTATACAGATTTTTTCTGCATGTAAATTAAAACCACTTTAAAAATTGGTTAAATGGGAAACGTAGACAAGAAAGTATATATGAGACTGTGGAATAGCAGGAAATAATTATTAGCAATTACTGGTATATATATAAATTGATATAACTAGCTTTAAAAGTAGTTTGCTCTTACCTAGGAACATTAAGCATGCTCAAACTCTACACACTCTCAATTTCACTATTAGATATGTATCTAAATTCATTGTTGAGTGTGTATGCTTATAAGCAAGAATGCTTATGGAAACATTGTTCAAATAGAAAATATTCTAGAAACAGTCTAAATATCCATTAGCAGTCTAATAGATACATAATTTATGGTATAGTCATACAATCGTATATTCGTGATATTATAGACATGTAAAAATGAATGAACTACAGTACCACACTCAACATTATACCTCAAAAGCAATGCTGAGTGAAAGAAGCAAATTACCTAATTCTTACAAATTCTTATAAATTTCAAAAACAGGCAAAACTGAAGAGTATATTTTTTAGAGCTACATGCTTAGGTAGCAAAACAATGACAAAAACAACTCAAAAAATAAACCTACAGCAACTATAAAGTAAAAGGATGATTAATTAAATCAGGGTATTATTTAGCTTTGGATGGGAACAATGAATCAGGGAGAGTTACATATGGTGCATCTGAAGGATAGTAATGTTCTATTTCTGGCCTGGATATGAGTACAAGGATTTTGTTTTTTTTATTAAATTTGTGCATTTATGTTTATTTATATCTATATACTCCTTTTTTTTAAAGATACTCTCCACTTCACAATTTAAGAATATTTACTACAGAGAATGGGAGAAAGATAGGAGCTAGGGGATAGGGACTAAATACAAGGCTAATGCAATTACTCACACAAAAGAAATCTGAAGACCTGGAGCTATATGTTGTCTGGAAGTGGGACTGGGGACAGCATGAATCACTATTTTGGATTAAATGAGTTAATATCAGTGCTCTACATGGTATGTGACCCAAAGTAAGACTCAATAATTGTGAGTTTTCCTCCTTCAACTCTTTTCTCACTGACTCCTCATACTATAAATGTATAAATGTATGGGGAAAATATACCAGATAAACTTTCAGTACTGATTAAAGAAGTCCAGTACTATCCTAAGTACTCTTAATGATATCTGACCGACCATGTGTTGAAACTGTTGATCTAGAGCAGTTGAAACTTCGGATGCAAGAGAATCGAGTGTAGTAGTTCTCAAACTTAAGAGTGCATAAGAATCACACTTAAATATATAAGGATTAAACACACACATACACAGGAACACACTTTGTTAAAAGGCAGATTTTTAATTAATACATAATAATTATACATGTTTATGAGGTACACATGATACTTTGATGCATGCTTACAATGTATAATGATCAATTCACGGTAACCAGGATACCATCACCTCAAACACTTATTTCTTTGTGTTGAAAACATTCCGAATCTTCTTTTGTAGCTATTTTGAAATATATATTACATTATTAATAACTATAATAAAAAAGACAGATTATTTTGGTCCACATGAAGTATTTTGATTTAACAGGCTTACTTAGAGTCTAGAAATCTGCATTTTTACAACAAGCACTCTCTAATGGTAATAAAGCAGATAGTTTAAACTAGACTTTTGGAAACATTGGTTTTGGAATGAGACAGATCTGGATTGAAATGAAGTCTATATAGTACTTGATTTCCTAGGTATAAAAATTTGGGCAAGTTATATTACCTGTCTCTGTCTGATCTTCATCTTGTGAAATGGGAATATAACACTCTTTTAAATATTTTACTTCATATAATTCACAGAACAGTCAATTGTGTGAATTATATGAAGTAATACAGCTTAAGGGTTTTAGTGCAGAGCCTGGTAGATAGAGGAGCTTTCATACATTTTAGTCAGAATTACAGTTGTTGGTGCTATTGGTTGTGATTTTGTAGCCCAGAGGTCAGCTGGGGCCATTCAGCTACATAACACTACAAAAAGTTGATTCAAATTCCAATCACATGGATTTTGTATCCAAAACCTTCCTCATTTTATACACACCTGTGTAGGTTTATATTTTAATATATAGGTCATACATTTTCTGAGACACTCTGGTTTTCTGATTTCCTGTCTGTCAAAAGTTTTTGGCCTTTGCTGGATAGTATCTTACAGCTCTTCATTTCTCTATCATAATTTTAAGTCAAAGATAAAAATGCCCTTTATACTTTATCATTTCCTTCAGAGTAACCATAAAGATGGGATGTTGCTTGTAGCAAAATTTGAATTGAAGATTTTGGGACTACTTTAAGTGATACATAGGAAACAACTCAGAATCACATGTTAGATCTTTTATCTGCAATAGCTACCCTTGTCTCTTGCAAACTTGCTAATTCTTCCCTTTCTGTGTTTCTTCTTTACTCCCTTCTTTCTAGATTACTCTAAATTTGGAATTCTCCTTTAATTAAACAGAGCAATTCAGCTCTCTCTAGCTACTCTTACACTTGTATAGTTACTGATTTTTTTAAATGCCTTTTATTTAGCAAGAGTTATTGTTTCTGAGAGAATAATTGTTGTTATAAGTAGTACATAATAAAATGTTTAGAAATAAAAACATAAAAATCACTTTAATGTTCTACAATGGTTCTGCCACATCCCACAGATAGTATTTAAATAGTCACTTCAACTTATAGGTGAGAAAAATTAAAAAATTATATTTAAATTCATTCTCTTTAATTAGACCCTGAATAATTATTTAACATAATATTTTAAAAATAAAATTAAACTTGCATTTCCTTCTTTATCCTTTCTGTGTTTCCAAATAATCATGAGTTATAGGGGTAAGAACTTCTAACACATCTGTGTGAAGTTCCTTGAAACACTGGGTTGGGACTCTTTTAGTTCTGGTTTGTTCTCAGACAATTTAACAAATCCACTTAACCAAACTCCCTGTTTCAAAATGCAGTGGAGAGTATTTATTTTCTATTGCTGCTGTAACAAATTACTATAAAGTTTGTGGCTTAAAACAACCCCAAATTATCATATAGTTCAGTAGGTTAGAAGCTTAACACAGGTCTCGCTGAGTTAAAATCAAGATGTGAGAAGGGTTGTTTTCCTTTCTGGAGACTACAGGAGAATTGATTTCCCTGCTCCTTCTAGCTCCTAGAGGCTGCCCATATTCCACAGCTCTCGGCCCACTTCCCCCATCTTCAAAGCCAGCAATGGCATTGAGTCCTTTTCACATCTCATCACTTTGACCTCCTATTCTGCCTCTCTCTTCCACTTTTAAGGATCCTTTGATTACACTAGGCCCACAGGTATAGTCCAGGGATGATCACCCAATTTTCACATCAACTAATTAGAAAAATCTTAATTTCTCTTTTTCATTCAAGGTGCCATATTCACAAACTGTAGGAATTAGGACATGGCCATCTTTGGGAGTGACATTATTCTGCCTACCACATCAGGTAACAGAATATTTCTAGTATATTTAATAAAAAACGTCTATGACTTTATAATAAACTTCAGCACATATTTTTGGAGTGGGAAAGGGGTACTCCAAACAGCTCTACTGATAAGAAATATTTGTCTATACTAATACTGTTAAATAAATCCTCTATAGTGGACATTGTTTTGTGTGTTTTTTCTTTATGTTTATGTTCAACTTCTATTCCATCTTCTTTGGTAATGGAAAATTTGTGCTCTAGCACTGATGATTTTCATGGGACTGCTAATCATTTGCCTTGCTCTGGGTAAGAAGCAGAAATGTATCCCAAGATAGGCCAATTGAATTGTATCCTTAGAAAGTGACTTGTAGGAAAAGGAACAAAACTGAATGGCCTTTGTTTTTGTTTTCATTCCATTGGCTACATCAGGGGAAATCGTCAAGTAGTAACTGCTATTTCAGCTCTTTGGAGCTACCTGGGTCCTGAGTGTGCCAAGCCTGATTCTTTAGTATTCCACTCCTTCCCACATGCAGCTAAATATTCTTCCAATAAATTTGCTTTGCTTATATTAGTTGGAGTCCATTTCTAGTGTGCAGTCAATAAAATTAATAAATATAATATTCCACTTTCTTTCTTGACTTTTATGACTGCATTTTCTTGTTCTTTTTCAGCTTGTCTGACCACTGCAGGCTCCTACTACACCAGACTCCTTTTATTCTCTCTTCTATAGCTGTTTATTCTTAGCTGCCTTTTTTTCTCTACATTTTGTATTTCATTCATAGTTATGGCTCTGACTCTCATCTTTACACTAAATTCACAGCTCATGTATCTTTTTAATTTTTTTATTTCAATAGGTTTGCAGGGAGCAGGTGGTGTTTGGTTACATGAATAAGTTCTCTGGTGATTTCTGAGATTTTGGTGCATTCATCACCTCAGCAGTGTACACTGTATCCAGTGTATAGTATTTTATCCCTCACTCTCTCTCACCCTTTCCCCCTGCTCCCCAAAGTCCAATGTATCATTCTTATGCATTTGTGTTCTCATGGCTTAGCTCCCACTTATGAATGAGAACGTATGTTTGGTTTTCTACTCCTGAGTTACTTCACTTAGAATAATAGTCTCCAATTTCATCCAGATTGTTGCCATATATATATATATCTCATATAATACTATTCATTCATTAAAAGGTGTGAAACAATGGCATTTGCAGCAATCTGGATGAAATTGGAGACTATTATTCTAAGACTACATATATTATTCTAAATATACATATATATAACATTTTCTTTATCCACTTCTTGATTGATGGGCATCTGGGCTGATTCCATATTTTTGCAATTACAAATTGTGCTGCTATAAACATGCATTCACAAGTATCCTTTTCATATAATGACTTCTTTTACTCTGGGTAAATACCTAGCAATGGGACTGCTGGATCAAACAGAAGATCTACTTTATAGTAAACTTCAGCACATATTTTTGGAGTGGAAACCACTGTTTTCCATAGTGGTTGTCCTATTTACATTCCTGCTAATAGTGTTAAAGTGTTCCCTTTTCACCATATCCATGCCAACATCTATTTTTTTTTAATTGTTTGATTATGGCCATTCTTGTAGGAGAAATAAGGTGGTATTGCATGTGGTTTTGATTTGCATTTCCCTGATAATTAGTGATGTTGAGCATTTTTCCATATGCTTGTTGGCCATTTGTATATATTCCTTTGAGAATTGTTTATTCATGCCCTTAGCCCACTCTTTGATGGGGTTGTTTTTTTCTTGCTGATTTGTTTGAGTGCTTTATAGATTCTGGTTATTAGTCCTTTGTTGGACGTATAGATTGTGAAGATTTTTTCCCACACTGTGGGTTGTCTGTTAACTATGCTGATTATCTCTTTTGCTGAGCCACTGAAATATACAACCCCTTTAAAAATATCATTTTTCTAACCTTATTATTACAACTTACATAGAACATTAAAACATGCTTAGACTTTCTATTTTGTCCTAAATATCCCTTTTTCTTGAACAAACGAGTCATTTTATTTTAGGACAAAAATTTACCAAACAAGATTCTTTCTTGTATAAAATTACTTTCCTTTTTTCCTTTTCTACCAAAATTACCTCTTCATAACTTTGGCCTTTTTTACATTTCTTATTTTTTGGTTCCTTTTACCTTGTTTTATATATAACCCTTAAATAAGCTTTTGATTAGACAAATATATTTACCTTTTAATAAGAACATTAAAATTTTTTTCCTATAAACTTTTAAAAATCACTCAGACACTTAATATTTATTAACAACATTAGATCCTAAATTATATAACATGTTTGTTTACAAGCATTTATGCCATTACATTTACCTGATTTATTTAACAATTTACTCATATTATTTACAAAAACTATGATATTCATTATTTCCCTGTTAACTGTTTCTACAGCTGTGAATTTTAAGTGTTTACTTAAGTAAGAAACTTAAGGTTAAATATAAAGTTATTTTTATCAATAACTCAGGATTTAGCTGTTTTCATTAAACCAAGAATATTCCATGCCTTACTTGTCAAAAATTATCCAAGCAAAAATCATTTTGTCTTGAGCTGGGTTTTATAGTTTTATAGCCCTTATAGCTGATCTTATAGAATTCTGCAGGTGTAAACACAAAACCACTTGATCAAAAATGCTAACAATTTTTCAGACAACTCTAATATTATTTTACCAATAATTTTAAAGCCAGAATTTTTATTAAAGAATTTACTTGTCACATTAACTTGAAAAAGCACTTGACTAGTCATTTCTTTTGATTATCTGATTTAAATGCTTTTATTTATTAGCCAATTAGAGCTTTTATATATTTTGATGCTGAAACATTGTGTACACAACACATACATAGACATATTTAGACATGCCAATAGAAATGCATCTTATAGATTCATAAGACATTTTTTTCTTTTTTTTTTTAAATCTTAGATTTTTAAGTTCTTGATAACCTGTTTCACTACCCTAGGCAGTTGTCAGTTAAATAGCCTTAAATTTGCATGTTAAAGCAAACAACTCTAAGGTGAAAATTAGCAAAGTTTACAACTCAAGGTACTGGTGTGCTAGAGGGAAATTAAAACAGATTGAATTTCTATAAACATAAAATTATAGAAATTATAAAGGCCTTTTAAATACACACACACACACACACACACACACACAAAGATCCTATAGCTTTTACTTCAAAACTTTAGCCATGAGATAAATACAAATTCCCTGGCTTGCAAAAACAAAAACAAAAACAAACAAACAAAAAAAACCCGGTTACATCCAAGCAGTGGTTTTTATCTCAGTAGAAAAGTAATAGCAGATTTAAAGTAGGCAGAAGAGAAAATAGAAAAAAAGAGAACTTAGGAATTCTATTGTTTGCAAGTCTACCTTAGGCCTCTTTTTCCTTCATGTAAATATACATGAATACCATATTACTTCCATTTTACACAAACAGAGGTGCCATAAAACCTAGAGTGGTTGAAGGGGGGTTATTCCCCTTGTTTTCTCCTCATTCTTAGATTATTTGTTTCCTGTACATTTTTTTTAAAGGAGGAATTGAGCTGTGGCCTAGGGCTTTTGTGGAGTGAAACAAAGTGTTTGCTGCTTGTGGGCAGGACTCCATAATGTGTCACCACTCATTGCCACCATCTCATATGTCTCAGTTTTTCTCTCCAGAGATCTAAGCCCCTCCAGGTAGGCTCAAAGTGTGGAGTGACCAGCATCTCTATGTGCTTGCTGGACTAGCCTTTTAAAACTAATTTTGTTCGGGGTTCCCTGTAGGGCCACTGCACCCTAGATATTCCCATGAGGCCCCTGTCCACCCAGGGGTGCCCTTCTGGTGGGAGGAGCAAATGTCCTTTCTCTCTGGAGCTGAAGAAATGCAGTTTCTCATTTACCCATGAAAACAACAGTTCAGTTCTTCACTCAAATGTGAACCAAGCCAAATTGAGATTAATTTTGGAATAAAAGCAATAGAAATGACCCTTTAGAATGCAAGGATTAGGATCTGAACCAAAATTAGGATCCTTAAAAATCTTCCTAGGAGGAAAAAAAAACTCAATAAATCAAGGACCCTCAACCAAAGGGAGGTGCAGGACTCAGGAGGACTCACCAGATCCACCAGAGGAGAAGCTTAAAGTCAGTGAGGCTTCAGTGGGCCCCCACTGGTATGTTAGCACTGAGTTTGGGCAATTCCTTTGGGGCCCTGAGTCTTCTCTGAGGCCCAACATGTTTGGGTGCTAAACTATTGCTAATGAAAGAGTAAAATTGTAAAATATTTTGAAGAAATTTATTCTGAGCCAAATTTGAGTGACCATGACCCAAGAGGTCCTGAGAATATGTGCCCCACAACTCGTGTATTGATCTAACTTTGTATTTCCCTGCTGTTCATCATCCCCGTAGAGAAGTCCTGCTACCAACTCGAACTCAGTATGACCCATGTTACACATCTCTCACTAATTTAAAAACCAGTTTTTTCCCCTTTATTCCTGATCTCATTATCCACTCACTCAGGATAAAAGATTGATTCAGAGCGCTAAGTCTTTATTTTCACTATATTGGGCATCTGTTATTTTTGTCTACTCCATATGACAGTTTCTTCCAGCAAATTAAACTTCTCTCGTTTCATGTCAACCATGGCCTCCTTTCCTCATAAGAATGTGAATGTGACCCACGCAGAACCAACATTTATAATATACAGGTTGGATTCCTAATCCAAAAATACAAAGTGCTCCAAAAGCCAAATTTTTTGAGCACCAGTATGATGCCATGAGTGGAAAATCCCATACCTGACATCACATGACAAGTTGAAGTTAAAATGCAGTAAAAATTTTGTTTCATGTACAAAGTAATTAAAAATGTTGTTTAAAATTACCTTCAGACTGTGTATAAGGAGTACATGAAATGTAAATGAATTTTGTGTTTGGACTTGGATCCTATCCTCAAGATGTCTCATTATGCAAATAATCCAGAATCCAAAATCTGAAAACATTTTTGGTCCTAAGCTTTTCGGATAAGGGATATTCTACCTAACTTTATAATATATGGATGTTGGTAAAGAGAAGGCATTACTATTTAGATTGTTAAGCTAGGAAGATGTCAATTTATCATGTGGTCAAGAGCCTGTTTGATAGAATACAGTCAAATATATGAACAGAATAAGGATAAATATATAGAGATATATAGCCTTGGATCTATCTAATTCTAAAACCATATCCAACCTAAATTTCCTGGTTCTGTGACCTAGTAAGTTCTGCTTATTTTTTCTTATGCTAGTTTGAATTGGGCCTCTATCATTCGTATTATGCTAAAGAGTCTTAACACTTACCAAATTCTATAGATCTTAACATTCAAATATCTGACATGCATCCTTTCTATTTTCTTCCACTGCTGATATACTATTGAATGACTTCTTCTCATTCTTTTACTACAATAGTCATCTTGCTGCCAATCTATTGTTTCTCCAACATATCCATCACATTACTATTAAAGTTATCTTCTTAATAAAATGTGGGATTATATTACTTCTCTCTTTAAATATCTTCAAGTTCTCTATTGCATAATAAAGCCTATATTTCTTAAGTGGCATTTAAAATTTCCCCAAATAAATTCAATCTTATCTGAACCTACTATTTATTCATTTATTCACTCATTCAGCAAATATTTATTGAGTACCTACTATATGCGAGGCATGATTCTAGATATATTAGATACAGTGATGACAAAATCAAAATTCCTTCACATATAGCTTACATTTCAGTGGGAAAGTTGCGACTCTTACTACATTCTTCCACAACATCTGGTCCTAGTATGACCTGGGGATAATTTACACGCAAGCCTCTGCTGAAGCTGTTCTTGATGTTCTTCCCCACCTGTTAAACATCAAAATTCAATGTTAAATTATCTATGATTTAATGGCATTTACCTTTTGTTTCCTAATTGTTTACATTTATGCTACAATACAAATTTATCTCATTTTATGCAATTACTAATTTATATATTCATCTTGCCACACATAAAACCTTCTTGAGGACAGAAAACTGATTTTGTTCATTTTTGTCCCTTTCATAATACTTTGCATATAGTAGAAACTCATTATTATTCTATTTCTTGTAATCAAATTTGTTGAATGATTATTGTTGAAACATAAACGTGAGAAAATAGAATGTTATTGAGGATAGGGGACAGAGTTATAGTTACTGAGTGCCTATCATATAACAAAAGTTTTCCTAGGTGTTTTTCATAGAATATATGATATAATACATATCACTTCACACTACAGGAAACTAAGTTACGGTAAACGAAATAATTTCTAAATCGATTCCCTCTAGAATAGAGGGAATATCAAAAGTCTTTAATTTGGTATATGTGGTTTAGTGCACACTATTTATTGAATTTTTTTGTATGTGGGGCGAAATATTACATTTACAATACAAAACCAAATATGATTGGAGAAGACATTATTGTGATATTGTTGCATGCTGACACAAATCCTCACATCATGTAGTCCAAATCCTTGCTTCCCGATCTTTATTTGAATTCATTGAAACCCAGAAAACAATATAATACTTTTCCCTAGAAAGTAAACGAACTCTCTTCAAGTCAATGGGATTTCAAATGGAGAGAAAGCAATTTACAACATCCAGGAGTTTCTGTTCAACATTATAGACAGACGGTCAGACTTTGGGGTCCAATTGCCTGGGTTCAAATACTGCTTCCACCAGGTAACAGCTGTGTAACCTAGGGTGGTAAGTCACTTGGTTGTGCCTTAATTTGTTCGTAACTAAAATTACAGTAAAACCACGTCTCACGGGGTTCTTATGAGAAGCAAATGAGTTACTATTTGTATAAAAGTTAGAATACAGTATACATTATTAATTTAATAGAATTGGCAATAATACGAAGTTTACTAAGACTCTTCTACTTATCACTCCATTTTTTGTCAGTAATAATTTTTTTTTTTAATCTGAGAAATTTCAAGTCAACAGGTATTCATAAAACACCTACGATGCCTGGTGCCTTGGGAACATAGAATAAATTGGGAAATTACAGTCTTTTTTATTTTGAATTTGGAATAGATGGAAAACACAGGGCAAGGTGCAATGGAACATGCAGCAACAAAAATGCTAGAGTGTCACATAATTTACCTAGGTAAAGCTAACAGCAAAATCAAGTACTCTAAGATTTATACTAATAATACCGCAACTAACAATTGGGAAAGTATTTATTTTCAGATCTACACAGAAGTTGCTAATCACAATGCCATACATCAGCAAAAGTTCTGCAGAAATTGTAAAACTTTCCTTTATCTCCACTTGGGAAGTCTGAAAACATCATACGGCTTGTGATTGGAGCCTACTAACCCAGAGGACAACGTGGTGGGCTCAGCGAATATGTCAATGTCCGAGGGAAGGAGAGGCTCGAACCACGACCATGCCTAGGACCAGGCTTTTCCCGCGGCCGATGACTGGCAGATGCAGACTTAGAGGCCACCCTCGCGCGCGACGTCCAACCCGACGGTGCTGCTTCTCTCGGACCTGGAACTGTGGGGAGAAGGCAGCCTTTGAGTTGAGGAGCCGCCGCGTGGCGGGACAGAAGGAAAACCACACAAGCCGCTGCATAGTCTCCCGCGATTCCACTCCAAGGCACCGGAACGCCAGGATGAGGAAGGACTCTGCGTTCTGCAAAGCTAGCGGTTCCCACTCCACTTCCCACTATGTTAGGGGTGGGCACCCGGGCGCCAGCCCGGGCGCCAGCGGCGGAGAAGGCAGTCTGCGCCATCTCAGACCCCAGCCCCAGGCTCTGCCAGCTGGGGTCCACCGCCCGCCCCCGGGGTCCCGAGCCCACGTCACTTCCGGTGCGCGCGCCCGCCCGCGAAGATACAGCGGGGCCAGAGCCTGACCCGGGCTCGCGGCTGCTCGGGGGCGCGCAGAGAGGGCGGGCCGCGCGAAGGGGGAGTGTCTGTCCGCCGCCGCCGTTGCTGCAGCCGTAGCTGCCGCCGCTGCCGCCGCCGCCGTCGCCGCCGTCGCCGCCGAGGAGTTCGCTTAAGCCCTTTTCTCAGACCCGGCCCGGTCTTCCCGCCCGGACTCAGGGCGCCAGCGCCAGGCGCACTCACCGCTCCGACGGGTACAGAAGCGGGAGTTCCCTCTGAGACTGTGGAGTGGCGGGCAAAGCCCCAACCCTCCCTTCCCCTCCCTGACCCCTTCTTGCCGTCGCCCCAGACATGGGGAACGCGGCGACAGCCAAGAAAGGCAGCGAGGTGGAGAGCGGTAAGTCGAAGGCCGGGTCTGGGTATCCGCTGGGCGGGCCGGCGCAGGGCACCTAGCGCCCCTCCGGGTCGCAGACCCTGAGGCCGCGGGCACTGGCCAGGCCTAGCAGCGGCCGTCCGGAGCCATTCTTGGGGGTCGGGGGGACCAGCTGACTTCCTCCTTCATCCCGACCTCCAGCTCCGCGTTGAGAGTTGAGCGCGAAGGGCCGGATGGGGGAAGCTTGCGAAGAGCGTTCCCTGGGATTCCCTTTCTCACTCTAGCGAGGAGGACTTGCACACATTCTGGAACACTTCCCCAAATATGGTCCGAGGAAAGAAGTCCCTAGTGCCATCCCACCCCTGCTTTCCCCCCACGCTGACTCTTTTGGAGCTACAGGTAGTGCTGTGGGTAAGGTTGGCTCTTCGCCCTCCATCACTTGGGTCCAACCCAACCTTATCACAACGCGGGGGCTGCTAGTCTGGCTCTATGCAAGTGAGGCTAATCCTGAGTGGACAACCCTGTCTTAGATCTCCTTCATCTCTTCAGATTAGGAATGGAAACATAATGAGACCAAACAGCAACTTTATCCGTTAGAGAAAAAAGCCAGACAGATTTGCGTTTTCTCTAGACATTCAAGGATCTGCTACAATGCCTTTAAAACTTAAAGGTCATTTGGAGTTGAAGTGCTTCCAGAACACGGTTAATTTCTTCTGAGAGCTGAAGGTGCGGGTACTCCACACTTTACATCAAACAGTAGAAAATCATGAAAATGGAATTTGTTTGGCTATATGGGGTGTGTGTGTGTGTCTTATGTGTGTGTATGCATGTATACACATGCATATATATGTATATATGTGTCAATGAGAATGATTGTGCAAGAAGAATTGGTTTGCCTTTGTAAAGTGCATATATTTTTATAATTAAGAATGGCCAAATAACAAATGGTATTTGTTATGTCACCAGGAGTAAATGACATCTTAGCACTTAAAGCGGGCCTGGTGATTTTAGTTTGTGTAAGTCTTACTTGTAAATGTTTTTATGGTTGTGACATAAGAATTAGGCTTTATAATTTAGCATGAAGGAAATCGTTTTTTTATATTAACAAAGTAGAATTCATTTAGAAGGATTTAGTCACTAATTTTATTTAACATAAATAGTGAGATCAGATAATATGGTTTATGTTTCATCAATAAGGTTTTAGTTTTAATTTTCAGGAGCTCCAGAAAAGTTCGATGAACTATTATATAAACTACTTAAGAACACAGTATGCCATACGGAGATTTTAAAAAGCCAACGTAGAAGTAGAATTTATGTTTGTTTGTTTGTTTATTTGTTTTTTGAAACGGAACTTTGCTCTCATCACCCAGACTGTAGTGCAATGGCGCAATTTCAGCTCACTGCAACCTCTGCTTCCCAGTTCAAGCGATTCGCCTGCCTCAGCCTCCCAAGTAGCTGGGATTACAGGCGCCCACCACCATGCTCGACTGATTTTTGTATCTTTAGTAGAGACGGGGTTTCACGACGTTGGCCAGGCTGATCTGGAACTCCTGACCTTATATGATCCACCCACCTGGAGCTCCCATCAAGTTCTGGGATTACAGGCTTGAACCACCATGCCCAGCCTATGTTATCTTTTTAAAATTGCACAAATATGGTAACTACCCGTACAGAAAGGATAAAGAATGCAAAAAGTGTAAAGAATTATTTGTACCTGATCATGTCGTCATTTTCCGTGTTAATTTAAAGCTCTATTAACTTAAAACGTGTTAATTGTGTTACAAAAGAGTGTGCTTGGAGATTGGTCGTATTAGTAGTTTTCATTAGCAAGTCTTGACCTGTATAATGTTTATATTTTTGATGATGATAGTATACTCTTCTGTGACCTATATATTTTTTATTAAGTCACCAAAACACTTCTCCCTAAAGAATTATTTTGGTAACTTAATACCCTTAGTATTAATTTGCAACTCATAGTTGTGAGATAACCTCAGAATATTTACGGAAAACAAAATGGAAACTTTAAATGTGTATTTGAACATATTTAAATTATTTATATGAATAAATTCTTTACTATGTTTTAAATGTTAATGACAGTCTAGTTCTTTTTTTATTTTAATTTTTTTTGAGATGGAGTTTCGCTCTTGTTACCCAGGCTGGAGTGCAATGGTGCGATCTCGGCTCACCTCAACCTCCGCCTCCTGGGATCAGGCAATTCTCCTGCCTCAGCCTCCTGAGTAGCTGGGATTACAGGCACGTGCCACCGTGCGCAGCTAATTTTTTGTATCTTTTGTAGAGACGGGGTTTCACCATGTTGACCAGGATGGCCTCGATCTCTTGACCTCATGATCCACCCGCCTCGGCCTCCCAAAGTGCTGGGATTACAGGCGTGAGCCACCTAGCCCGGCAACAGTCTAGTTCTTAAGTATGTTAGTCAGCTTTTTGTGTGACTGTATTTATGGAAACTGAAGGTTATTATAATACTTTAAAATACTGTTGTGAAGTGACAAAAGAAAATAGCAAGTTATATGTTATGGGGAAAATTATTTGAAATGTCATGTGTTGATTAATGTTGTAACTTCATTTGGAGCAATGTTATCAGGAATATGTTGCTGTTCTACTGTAGTGAGCATAGAAATTGTATTGCTACAGGCTAGGCGCGGTGGCTCATGCCTGTAATCCCAGCACTTTGGGAGGCCGAGGCGGGTGCATCACGAGGTCAAGAGATCGAGACCATCTGGTCAACATGGTGAAACCCTGTCTCTACTAAAAATACAAAAAATTAGCTGGGCATGGTGGCGCATGCCTGTAATCCCAGCTACTCGGGAGGCTGAGGAAGGAGAATTGCCTGAACCCAGGAGGCGGAGGTTGCTGTGAGCCGAGATCGCGTCATTGCACTCCAGCCTGGGTAACAAGAGTGAAACTCCATCTCAAAAAAAAAGAAATTGTATTGCTGCATTTTAAAACTTAATGAAAGAACTCTTATCATTATATACCTAACTGTTCTGTGTATATTTTTAAAGAATTATTCTTGAAAATGTTTTTCAAAATTTAGAAATATGTGACGTGAGAGGTCAGCCTGTACAATCATTCCCTTTCAAAGATCCTGACATCTGCAGAAGCAGAGATCATATTTTTAGTAATAATAGAGTAAGGAATAGAGTTTGATGCCTGGACTCCATTCAGCATCCCTAAATAATCAATTAATACATTTATTTTCAAAATATTCACTAAATGTTTTACTTTCAATTAGAGACTATAAATAAAAGCTAAAAATGTTACTGTCTAATGGGAAAGAAAATATATATAAGAGTTACCTGAAAGGCAAAATACAAGTGCTGACATTATGGAAAGTGGAATTAGAGCTCTGAAAATTGCTGTATGAAAATGTTTGATATGAAAGTTGATTAAAAATGTCAAGTCAGTTAAGATTTCAGATTCAGTTAGCATGAAGCTTCAGAAAGATAGGTGATTCCAGAGCTCAGTTCTAAAAATATTCCAGAAGAATGAAGTTAGGCATAAAGATCATTTAGAAGGGTCTGGGTTAGCTTTGACTGTCTGGTACCTGTGTTGTACTCTACCAAAACTTGTTCCTCTATTAAAATAAACATTTTCTGGGGTAAGACCTAAAAGCTAGGTGAAATTCCATCTTCCTCTCCACAGATTTTGGAGATAACACTAAGTTGGGTACCTGTTGTTAGTGAATTAGGAAATTGTATTGATGTATCTCAAAACTTAATGAGAGAATAACTGGTACTATTATATATATCTAACTGTTCTATGTTTTTAAAATTACTCTTGAAGATATATTCCTTTTAAAATTTGAGCATAGTTATTTAAACATTAGCTAATACACAGAAGCATAAACTTTTAGAAATATATTATGATAAACTTCTCAGTTTTAAAGTTTTAAACTCTTGGTCAGTTAAGTTTGTTTTATTTATCCAGTCTTTTATCTTTTACTCCAGCCTCAGTCACCAACACAGAAAACACATGCCACTTCTTTTAACTTGGGAAGGGTTTTTAATTCATTTTTAAAAACACTATACCACCAGGTTGCCTATGGACTTTGTGTTATACATTCATTGCAAAAATGTTGAGGCCCATGGGTGAAAAGTGTTGGTAGAGATTTGGATGTAGATTCTTTCATGACTGCAAGTCATCATGTGACCTAGTGTTCACATATGATCTTTGAATGTTTTCCAGAGTCTCTCTCTGTTCTATGTATTTGAAAGTCAATAGGAATTAACCAAAGAAAGTCACCATTAAAGTAGGTTCAACCAAAATGCAAGTTTCTTACAACTAACATTTTTTGAGGACTAATATATGCCAGGTTCTCTAATGCTTTGCATGTATAAACTTTTACTTAATCTTTTTAAACTTGAAGTACTTGAATTCTTTCTTCATTTACAGATAAGGAAACGAAGGCTCAGAGCCTATGTGACTTACTTAAGGTTGCATAGCTAATAAGTCAAGAAGCAACATTTATGAAATTCTAACCACTTTGCTGAAATGTCTCTATATCCAATAGACTAGCCAATGCTAAGACACACAGAATAGCTTACACTTTATTTCTTCTTACTTAAGGTTGCATAGCTAATAAGTCAAGAAGCAACATTTATGAAATTCTAACCACTTTGCTGAAATGTCTCTATATCCAATAGACTAGCCAATGCTAAGACACACAGAATAGCTTACACTTTATTTCAATTTATTATCAATTAAAGCACATTTCAGTTTTCAAACATGACTTTATTTGGTATATTAAAATCTTAAATGAAAAAGATTTTTTTTTCTTGTACCATTCTCTGGATTCAGTTTCGTCATCATTAAATTATCTTTTCAGATTCATACTTAAAGTCTTCATTACTACAGTCCTTATATTTATTTTTCCCCATTTGTAAATGTATACTTTTTCTTCTTGCCAAATAGTCAATCGAAAAAATATTATTTGAACTTGCATTATCATTTAAAAAGTAACAGCAAATTTGCATTTCACCATGATTTAAAGTAGCACTGTCCAGTTAGACTTTCTGTGATAATGAAGTGTTCTCTACCTGTGCTGTTCACTGTAGCTACTAGCCACATGTCTAGTGAGCACTGTAAATGTGCCTAGTACCACTGAGAAACTGTATTTTCAACTTACACGTGGGTAATTAGTGTTTGGTATATTGGACAACACAGGTTTAGAACATAGTTGTTTTTGCATTTAATAAAAATGCCAACCCATCTTTCTGTCATCTTGGTTATTTGTGAATCCTTACAAGTGTGTGTAGATGAAAGGAATGTTGGATTTATCTTTTCTGGTTTCTTCAGCATTTCCTTGGAATAAGCATTTATAAACTTAGTGAACAAATTATTATAGTTCAATAATTTGTGTATAATTTATTAACTACAAAGTTAAATTCTTTCTGGGGCTGTACTAGAATTAAAATTTTATGTTAATAATCTCAGTGAATATTCTCTTATTGGAAAAATTTTTATAGATTTAAATGTTGATGAACACCAAACTTAGTGGTTTTTTCTTATATCTTATATCTTTGCACCTTTCAATTATCAAAGGAAAATTAGTATCAGATATTTGTTCCAATTCAGTAGAATGCAGAAGTACTTGGGAAGTCTTTCTTGGGTGTAAGACAAGTAAAGTCAAAACAATCAGTTATGCAGTTTTGATGATAAATACATATGATCTCATCTAATTCCATGATTCTGTGATTCTGTTGGTACAGATTGTCTACTGTATTAAATTATCTCATTCAGGAACCACTTTTCCTATTCTCCTCCTCAGTGTCCTTCACTTAGGCTGTAGACAGATTGTTGCTTTTTCATTGCCAGCAGCAGGATAATTAGAGGCATGAAAGCCAGCTTAGAAAAGTAAGCCATGGCTGAGTGACAGAAGCAGCATGTGAGAAGGTCCTAAGTAAGCCAGGATAGCTATTAAGATCCTGTCAGATAATTAATAATTGACCATAATTCATTTTGACATTCCATTAAATTAATTTTTAAAAATGAGTACAGTTTATGAAATTGTATATCTAGGTGATAAATGTCTGTATACATGGGTGATCAAATTTCCTCAGATTAATAAATCTTAAATATTTAATGAAAAACATTGTGTTAAATATAAAAATGTGAAATTTATGAAAGGTAAATATACTTAGGTCAATATCATATTATTTTGAGTAATCTTACTTGTAAATGTATTCCTTCAAGAATGTTCTGTATAGTTATTTTTTCATTGCTTCATTCATTCCTTTATTCAGTACACATAATTGAGCTCCTAAAATGTGACAGACTCTACACAAGATTATGGGAATAAAGATTGAATAGGACACAGTACCTGCTCAGCGTGCCCATATTCCAGAAGGGGAAGATAGACATGTCAACAAATACATGAAACCTTTCTTGAATCCTTTCATTAAAGTTCAGTGGGAGAACCAAGGGAAAGAATGGTCATTTCCACTGGGATGGGGAGGACGAAGTTCAAAAAGGACTTCAAAGAGAAGTTGAGCCTTGAGTTGAGCATTGAAAATTATAAATGTTTATCAGGTGGATTATAGGATGAAGGGTATGATAAGTAGACAGAACATTGTTAAGTGAAGATGCCGAGGAGTGAAACCATGTAGCATATTCAGGATAAGGAAGTTACCCATTATGACTAAATGATGGACTGTGGGGTTGGTGATAAGAAGAGGGGACATTGTATAATGATAGATGAGACTGAAGAAATGGACAGAGGGCCACATAATGGAGAAAGTTTGAATTTTATCTTTTAGACACGAAGGAGACATTGTACACTTGGAAATAAGAGAGAAACATGATACAATTTGGGTTTAAAAGAGGTTGCTTTGGTGGTGATGTAAAGATAAATCATCATGGAGCAAGTGTAGTAGAGGCAAGATCAATTATAAGACTCATGATAATTTGGGTGAGGGATTTTGAGGCTCTGAACCAAGGTAGTAGACGTAGGGATAGAGAAAAGGGTCTGAAATGGGAGAAATTTGAAAAATTGAGAAGAATGTATTTTACTGATGGCATGTGTGAAATGAGGAAAAGGAGGATTGGGGATGACACATTAAGTTTTTACCTTCAATGTTTTGGTAGATGGGTTGTAACACCAGTAATAAGAGTCAGAAAATGAATACAGAGGGCAGGATTATATTGGGGAGAGGGATGGGGACATATTGAACTTGGGATACCCATGGCATTTCTGATAAATGATAGCTGATTGGTTATTACATGTGTGGATCGTCTTTTATATCCCAGCCTTGGGGGTCAAGGGACCTTTTCCACATTTTATCTTCATTGTACTCCTCTTTTCTAAGACAACTGTTTGGAAACTATAGAAACTAAACATCTGGCATAACTTACATAAATTAAGAATTCTATATACTGAAAGTTCAGCCTTTTTGTTTTGAAAAGAGGAAAGCCAAAGTACTGATAAGAACAATGTAACTTTTAAAGAAAGAAAATAAAATAATAAAATATCACTTTTATAATTTAAGTGTGCGTTCTCTAAGGTATTGAGTTTTGTAGTTATGCAAGGTAATGGAAAGAACATGTAAAATATAGTACCAACATCTATTATGTACTAAGGAAATGTCAGTTTTATTCCCCTAGAGTCCTTTAAAATAGATATTTAAAAGTTCAGGTGTAATTTAGTAGTAAAATCATAAACTGAGGGTAAGAAAAATCTAAATCCTTTTTTCTAATACGTTCTAATACCTCACTTTGGATAAATGTTTTAATATCTCCAAGTGATGGTATAAAATTGAGAGGGATGAATTAGTTAATGACACTGCGATCTCTTCTTCCAGCTTTAAAATCCAATGCTTCTATTATATTTAATATAATAGTGCTCACAAAATGTGTGGTCAGGGAAGTGGCAAATGATCCTCAGTTGAGCAAATAAATACATAGTAATATATTTAGGGAAAACTTTTGATCGACAATTTAAGAACGATAGTCTCTGACAAGAGTGTCCTTGACAGGCAGGGAGGGATAGGCTGTGCATCCCTCCGCTTGCTCTGGAAGGAGATGGCTCAGCGACTTCTGAGGAGGTTCCTGGCCTCGAACGTCTCCGGGAAGCCCTCTCATGGTCGGTGGCAACCCGTCCCTTCTGAAACCCTGCAGACCCCACAATGCAGTCCTGCTGGTCTGACTGTAACACCCAACCCAGCCAAGACAATATACACCATCAGGATCTCCTCAATGACCTTTAATATCCAGGATGGACCTGACTTTCAAGACGAAGTGGTCAACAGTGAGATGCCAGTAGTTCTGGATTTCCATGCACAGTGGTGTGGACCCTGCAAGATCTTGGGGCTGAGGTTAGAGAAGATGGTGGTCAAGCAGCATGGGAAAGTAGTGATGGCCAAGGTGGATGTTGATGACCACACAGAACTCGATATTGAGTCTGAAGTGTTGGCGGTGCCCACTGTGTTGGCTATTAAGAATGGGACATGGTGGACAAGTTTGTGAGCATTAAGGATGAGGATCAGCTGGTAGACCTTCCTGAAAAAGCTGATTGGCTGACAAGCAGGGACGAGTTCTGGTTCTCTTCCCTGAGTGGGACCCCAATAGAACTTAGCCCTTCCGTGCGGGCCCTTCCTGCTGCCTTCCACATGCCTTTTGTCCCCTCCCTCCAGGGCCTGTGACAGTTCTTCAGGATGTGTGGAGAGAACCCAGGCCAGCCCACCGCACTCCTGGTCAGGTAGTCACACCTTGGTCCTCATCTCTGGTCCTTCCAGTCTGAAGCCTCGTGCATGGCTTGTCTGCCACCTGCATTTCTCTTTCCTGCTGCTGTTTTGTAAAAAGGAAAAGAAAAAAGCCCAAATTAGTGAGAGTAATATATAATTTTATCATTTTTGTAGGTCTGTAATGAAGTTAGTCATCCCTTCCACCTCCTACTGTGAAAAGTAGACCCTGAGTACCACCCTGAAATCCCCTGTAGTCACCTATCCCCACCCCCCAAAGAGCACCCTCCCACCTAGCCTCTCAAGCAAGGGGGCAGAAAATGAGTGATGGGCCTAAGAGCCCTGGAGAGCCTTGACTCTGGAAGGCTCCAGGCACCTCCTTCACTCCTTAGCTGGCCCATTGGTCCTCTGAGCAGGGGCCTTAACTGAACAAATAAAACCAATAAAGCAAGGGTCTTGCTAAAACGACAAATTTATGAATCACTGTACTGATCTTTGAAAATATTTTCATGTTGTACTACAGATAAAGGAACCATCAAAATGTTCACCATCAGGGTAGAGTGTTAGAAATAAAAGATGAAACATTCTACTCTTAGGTGAAACCATTAGTGTGCTATGTGTAGTTGTGGTGTTTTGTGTATAGCAAAACCAGAGAAAGTTTAGATCAGGGGCAGCTAATAGGAGTAAGAGCATGGGAGGTCTATATTGTGTGTGAATAAACTAATATATATATATATATATATACGCACACACACACTCATATATATATATGCTAAAGTGTATAAAATCAAGAAACAGGAGAACTCATGGACTATTCCTCCAAACTTATAAAAGCTAGTTGTAGAACAAGTAGAATGAATTATAGTGAAATCTTGATATAAACTGGGCTTAGACAATAAAGGTATTTAAGTGATTAGTCATTTATGTTTAAAGGTTAAACGTGTTTACAAATTTAGGTAGTATTTTTAGCAATTTAAAAAGCTAGAAAATTTTAATGCCTTTTTCTCTTAATTTTTTTTTGTTTTTATTTATTTATTTTGAAACAGAATTTCACTGTGTTGCCCAGGCTGGACTCAAACTCCTGGGCTCAGGCAATCTTCCTGAGTAGCTGGGACTACAGGTGTATACCACTGAGGCTTGTTTTCATACTCTTTTTATAGGTTTTATAATCTCTCCAGCCCTCAGCACTTTCCAAAAGAATCATCAGTATTCATAAGACAGGTCTTTTTTTGATAATACTAAGGTTTACTACTATTATGCAAATAAATTGTTTCCCCTGATAGGGTGATATAGCTTAAATTGTTTTTGGTTGATTTCTTTATTTTAAACTGCTCTAATTATTCATTTATTTTATTTTTATTTCCTAACCAATGAAATAGGGAGTAAAGAGTTGTCTTCATGTAGCTCATAGTCTGGTAAAAGATTTAGGCAGGTAAAAGCATAATTATGAGAAGGTTGTAGGAGGTGGATTATAGGATGTGTTTTTTTGTAATGTAAATTAGATTCAGTAATGCTGTGTATCTATGCAGAAAATTTTCCGAATCAAATTTGGGATTCTTATAAGAGAGAAATGCACTAGTTGAATTGTTACACTAGCATAATTGAAATTAGTTGTGCCTTAGAAAATCCAATGTAGATGCCTTATCTTTTATGTGGCCTGGTGTAACAAGGTATGAAGTCCCAGGCTCTGTGGCCATAATTTAATGTTATATTTACTGTTGTCTTCTATTCATATGTTGACTTTTCAGAGGTATCTGAAACTTGTTTTGTTGTAAGACAACTGTGGAATCTAAACCTTTAAGTCTGTGACAAACCGGTTTTCTTGATCTGGACTTTGTTCTTTGAAAATTAAAGAGACTGTTCTTGTTATCTTATTAGAGTCCTATTTAGTAAAATAAATATTCCATTTCTATACTGTATTCTTCTTAAGTAGAAGACCATATAGTATCAGCCAGCCATTGTATGTGAGCCACAAACTTGAGAGAACATGTTGGTACAGGTAATTTGCACCTTACCTGGGCCTGTCAACTAGAGCACCTACACATGACCTCTACATGTGGCTTGGGCCTCATAACATGGTGACTAAGTTCCAAGAAGGAGGGAGAGAGCCAGGTAGAAGCTGTATCACCTTTTATGACCTAGCCTCCAAAGTCAGGCAGCATCACTTCAGGTGCATTCTGTTCATTAAGTGAATCACTTAAATGACTGTATCAAGGGAAGGTAAATTAGATTTTTCCCTTTGATATAAGGATTTAGAAAAATTTGGGGACCACATTTCACATCTTTTTCTGCAAAGCCAGTCCCTCCACTATTACTTTGGATCCCAGCCCCTCCTGTTTTCCCCGGAGTCTTATGTATTCTTGTCTTTTATATCTATAATAATATGTCTTCTCATTTATTTAAAAAATGTGTACCTCTTTCCTCTTCACTTTCAGTGTTCTCTTTGACCCTACTTTCTCTTTCCCTTTCTCATCTCTCATGTACTAAAGTGAACTGGCCTAAGATTTGCAGTATATGTGGTCAAATCAGTTGATTTTGGTGGCCAGGCAGGTAACTTTAATGTGTCTTAGGTAAAACCTGAGATGAGAAGAAAGAAAAAAGAGAAAAGTGTTCTTTTTCTCTTCTTGCTATGTTATAGTTACTTACAATCAAGATACAGAAAACTTAAATTTAATGTAGCTCACCTGTTAGAATATGACTTGGTTGAATGTTATGGTCTGCATATGAATGTTTAAGTATTAACATGAAGTTATATGAGGTATGTAACCACATAAAAAAGGTCAAACTGGGTTACATGCACAACCTGGCTTAAAATATAAGAACCTATTCTCTAAATACCTTTAGAATCTTTGACCTAACAATTTTTTTGTTCTTGATTAGATTTAACTTTCTTGTTTTTTGGTTTTTGCTGTTCTTTTGAGACAGGGTCTCACTCTGTTGCCCAGTGCAGTGATGCAATCATGACTCCCTGCAACTTCTGCCTCTTGGGCTCAGATGATCCTTCCACCTCACCCTCCTGAGTAGCTGGGACTATAGGCATGCGCTGCCATGCCTAGCTAATTTTTGTATTTTTAGGAGAGATGGGGTTTTGCCATGTTGGCCGAGTTGGTCTTGAACTCCTGGCTTCCAGCGATCCACCCACCTCAGCCTTCCAAAGTGCTGGGATTACAGGCATAAGCCACCACAACCTTGTTCTATTACTCACACAGGTTTAGCATGAGAAGCAAACATGTTAATGACTTCTTATCTTTAATCTTTATTGTACTCAAAGGCATCAGTGACCCAAAAATCTTCAAATGTTTTTTCCCAGTGATTTCTATGACAATAACAATGGGAGCTGTAACTTTTTTGGTTTGTTATGATTGGTTTTTGTTTTGATCTACTTTATAATATTCTGTGTATAGAATTGCGAAACTATGTTACAGTAGTACTATTTTCAAGTAAAATTCAGTTAAAGTATAACATACATTTCAAAGGTATTCAAATCCTAATTTATAGGTTGATTAATTTGATAAAGTTAACACCTGTGTGAATTATCACCCATACCAAGAGATATTATTGAAACCCCAGAAGCTTCCCTCCTGCCTCTACCCAATTATTACTAGACTTAAAATGTGGCATACTGCATCATGTTTTCCTTTGTGACTGCCTTCTTTCACTCATGTATTTGTGACACTTATTCATGTTTTTGTTATAGCAGTGGTTTATTAATTTTCACAGATCTATATCACTGTATAAAAATATAGCAAAACCTATCTTTTCTATGACTGATGTAAATTTGGGTTGTTTCCAGTTTGGGGTATGAATAATGCTTTGAACTCACTTGTACGTGATTTTTGGTAAATACATATATGCTTTAATGAATATGTATTTGATGAATGTATTATATATATACTGATATGCATACATGCATATATACATGGATGTGTGTCTTTGTATGTGCATGAGAGAGAATGATATTGAATTAATTACTGGATTTCTGGGTCACAGATCATGTGGTTCTGGTAAATACCGCCAAATAAATTTTCAGATTGGTTGAAACTATTTCTAACCAGCAGTGCATAGGGTTTTAGTCACTCCACATCTTTTTCAAACTTGATGTTTTTCATATTTCTAGTTATACGTATTCTGGTGAACATATCCTGGTTATAATTTGTACATTCCTGATGACTGATAGTGTTGATTACTTTCATGTCTGTATTGGTCATTTGGATATGCTCTTTTCATATAATTTTTTTCAGGTAGTTCCCCATCCCTTTTTTTGGGTGTTTTGTTTATAAATTGATTTATAGAGTTATTTAACTCTATAAAAATTGATTTATAGAGTTATTTAACATGGGTACAGGATTTCTTTCCCCAGACATATGTACTACAGATGTCTTCTTCCATTTCATAGCTTGCCTTTTCACTTTCTTAACAATGTCTCCTTCATACTGTTTAATATTTTCAAATTTAAAAATAATTTACAAATAATTTCCTTTATGATTTTTGTTTTATTTGGCCTTTGGTCTTCTTTAAGAAGTTCTCACTACCCTAGAGTTACAGATATTTTCCTATATTAGGTTTAGAAGCTTTGTTTTACTTTTTATATTTAGAACTAGTCTATCAAGTGTGTATGTCTCTGTGTCTGTCTCACTCTCTCTGTGTATGTGTTTGTGTGTGTGCATGTGTGTGTGTGTATATGTGTCATGAGGTAGGAGTCATTTTTTAATATCAGTATTTGACATATTATTTTAAAAGGAAAAAGAAATCATCCCTTCCCCAAAGCATTGTAATGACATTTTTGTTATCAAAGGCTGAATACATTTGGTTTACTTCTTTTCTGTTCCATTGGTATTGTCTGTTTTAGTGTCAGTACAAAACTGCATGAATTCATGTAACTTTACAATGGAAGTCATCATAGTCAGTAGTATAAATCCTAAAACTTCATCCTTCACAATAATTTTAAATATTCTTTCTTTTTGAATTTCCTTTAAGAATTTTAAGTCAGCTTGTCAATTTCCACATACATAGTTACATACACTAACCTTGTAGGAATCCTAATTAAGATTGCATTGAATCTAATTAGTAGTTTGAGAAGTAGTTTGAATCTAATTAGTAGTTTGAGAAGAATTTTTATTTCTATGATATTGAATTTTTAGTCCATGAAAAGTATCTCTCCATTTATTTAGATCTTCTTTAACTTCTTTTAGTAATTATTTGTAATATTCTGTAACTTCTTTTAGTCATGCTTTGTAATATGCTGTTTAAATTTTAAATATAATTTTAAAATTACATTCATTTTAGTTTTACATGCTTTTTAAAGTTACTATAAAGGTTATTCATGTCAAAGTTTTATCTTCTAATTTTTCATTGTGAGTATATAAGCATAAGATTAGAAATTTTATGCTGACCTATCTAGTCATCTTGCTAATTTTATTAACTGTAAATTATTTATAAACACATTTAGACTTTATATATACACAGTCAAATCACTTTTTTGCTTAATTCTGACAGTGTAATTTTTTTTCTTTTAGTCTTTATACATTTTTTCTTGCCTTATTGCACTGATGAGGACTTGCAGTACAGTAATACATAGAAATTATGATAACAGCCACCCTTGTCATATTCCTGGTGTCTCTGAAAAGCTTTCAATATTTTGGAACCAGGCAGAAAAATTTTAAGATACCTGTTATCTGTTTAAGGAAGGTTTCTTCTATTCCTGCTTTGCTAATTATTTTTCCTTTGAGAATGGGTATTTAATTTTATCAGATATTATTTCTGCATCTATGAGTTTTGAATGTTAAATTAATATTGCATACCTGGACTAAACTCAGTCTGATTGCAATGTTTTATCCTTTTCATATCTTTTTTTTAAAATGTAATAGTGAATTTGGTTTGCTAAAATGTCTCAATATGTTTTCTCTTTATCATTATTCCATTGTTTTTTCTTTGAATGGCTACACTGGTTCATTTTCAGATATTTGGGGTTTTCAGCTTAGTTTCACTGTGTTCAAAGAACATGTTTGGAAAGATTTCAGATCTTTGAAAGTTTACTGAGACTTGCTTTATGGCTCACCATATAGCCATATACGGTAGTCACTTATAAATATTCCAATGACTTTTGAAGAGACTATTCTGCTTTTGTTGCCTACATCTACTTTCTCTCTCTCTCACACACACACAGGCACACACATAAAAACATACACACAGACAAGTTTAATTCACACTAAATTCAAGTTATTCTGTATCATGTTACATTTCTGTAGAGAGGACTTATTTTACTTCTGATATGATTCAGTGTTACTCTTACTAATTACAGTCATGTACTGCATAACAACATTTCAGTCAAAAGCGAATATACAATCATGGTTCCAAAAATTATACTACTTTATTTTTAATGTACCTTTTATATGCTTAGATACACAAATGCCATTGTATGATTACTGCCTACAGAATTCAGTATAGTAACATGCTGTATAGGTTTATAGCCTAGGAGCAATAGGCTATCCATAGAGCCTAGGTACGTAGTAAATGTCTACATTTGTATAAGTGTACTCTATGATGTTCGTACAATGATGAAATTGCCTAATGATACATTTCTCAGAATATATCCCTGGCATTAAGTGACACATGACTGTATTCAACATCCCATCATGCATTATTATTATTGTTCAGGGCCGTCAATATTTATTTATATTTATCCTACAATTTGCTCTTTTTTTTTCCACTTATTCTTTCATGCATTCTCTGGTCTGAGTTACTTGTGCCATAAGTAAGCCTTGTGTAAAGGTGTCCTAGTGATGAATTATGTCAGTTTTTATTTATCTGGATTTTTGTATTTTTTACTTTTTAGGAAATATTTTAGAAGTATAGAATTTTAGGTTGAGAATTACTTTCTTTCAACACTCTAAAGATGTTTCATCATGTTGTTTTCCATTGTTTTGTCGAGAAATTAGCTGTTAGTCTCCATGTTGCTTTTCGAAGGTAGTATATCTTTTTTCCTTTGGTTACTTTGAGATTTTCCCTTTGCCTTGGTTTTCAGCAGTTTCACAATATGCCTAGGTGATTTGAAACACTTTGTGTTTGCAACTTTTTAGAACCGTGGCTCAACATGTTTCATTCATTTAAGACAATTTTCAACTAACATATCCTAATATATTGACTGTATCCCATCTTTTCTTTCCTATTCTTCTGGGATAAAAATTACATGTATATGTCAAATTTATGATATATAATTTCAATTATTATATTTTTAATCCCTATAAAAATTATTTTTAATCTCTAAAATAAAAAATTCAGTTGATTTTCAGTTTATACTTATAAAATGTTCTACTCGTTTATTTTCTTGTACAAATTAATCATAGCAACATTAAAGTTCTGTTGTCTGAATTTATGATTTTTATTACCAGTGTGTTTTTCTATAGTATGTTTTTTCTCTTATTTTTGGTTATTTGGTCTTATCTTTTGGCATGCTTGGAAATCTTTAATGGAATGTTGGCAATGGAGAATGCAAACTATTTTGTATCATGGTATATTTCTTTAGAGAGGACTTATTTTGGCTGATAAGATTTGGGTCAGATTTTGTTGATCCAGTCAACAATTGAGATGAATTGTCTATTTCCTGTTTATTCTTACTCCTATCGATGGAGCCTTTCAGCAGTTTTGACTGAAAGTCTGGCAATGTTTATTAGGGCCCTACTCCATGCTAGCCCTGAACTTCAATTTTTGTTTCCTCACTGTGAGATTACTGAAATATTTGCTTACTTTTCTAATCTCCTAAAAAGGTACTTCTTGGTATCTGTTCTTCAGTGTCATGCCTTAGGATCTTAGACATCTGAATGCTTCAAGAAGAAAAAGAGCTGCTGGGCAGGTACGTTTAAGTCTGCTGCAACAGAACTCATAAATCCCCCTTTTTTCCCCAGGTGCTCTGTCCTGGGGAATTAGGGCTTTATTTATGAGTTTCTGTTGTGCTGCTGGCTTTTTTCAGGGTGGCCCTGCCCAGCAAGGAGGCAGCCTAGTAGTAGGCAGGAGTCTGCCTGCAGAGGCTTTGCTGAGCTGCTGTGGGCTCCGCCCAGCTGCCATGTGAACTTCCCTGCAGTCCTGTTTATACGGGTGTAGTTAGAAGTGTCTTGGCAATGGCGACCCACCTTTATATGGCAGATTCGCTCTGTAATGGTGGACTACCTCCGTAGTGGTGGAGTGCCTCAGCAATGGCTGACACCTCTCCACCACAGAGCTGGACTGTCCCGGGTTCAACTGTGCTTGCTGTGAAACTCTCAATCCAGAGCATTTCAGATTTGCTGTTTTTTTGTGGGGGTGGGACCAGCCAAGCCTGATCACCTGGCTCCCTGCCTCAGAGCTTTTTTTTTTTTTTTTTGAGTTGAACAGTCGCCTGTCTCCCAGATAGTCCAGTTGCCTGTTGAAAGGTGCCGGGATCTGTGTGATTTCCCATGCAGTGACCCACTGCGCCGGCTGAAACAGCCATGCTGCGATTCATTGCACTTTTTTGCCTGGGAATCTCCTGGCCTGGCTCCCTGTTTCAGTCCCCTTTTCTATCAGTTGAATGGGCGACTGTGTCTTTCCAGAGCTCCAGTTGCCAGCTAAAATGGTGCCCAGACCTGTGTATTTTGTATGGAGAACTGCTATGCCGGCCGAAACAGCTGTGCTGGCGACCCGTGGATCTCCTCTGCCTGGGAATCTCCTGGTCTGTGGGCAATAAAAATCCGTCTGGAAATGCAGCATCCACTCATCCTCTGCGCTTTCTCTGGGAGCTGCAATCCTGAGCTGCTCCTAATTGGCTATCTTGGATCCATCCCAGAAATAATTTTTACCAGATCTCTGGGCATCCCTTAGTCTAGTCAAGCTGATGCATAAAATTAACCACCATAGTGGGTGTATACTAGGATATAATTATGCTTTTAATTTTTGTTTCCCTGATGATTAATCATGTTGAACAACTTTTTATGTGCTTATTGGGTTATTCATATATCCTTTTTTAGATGTAATGCCTAATTAAGTCTTTTGCCTATTTTTCTACTGAGAAAAGAAAATAGGAGTTATTATTTTGCAGAAATGTTATACATACACATAGTTTATGAGTATAAATGAAAATATTTTCTCCAACCCTATGGGTTATATTTTATTCTCTTAATTATATATTTTGATGAGCACAGTTTTTAGTCTCAATATACTGAGGATACTAACTTTTTTCTTTTTGCTTAGCCCATTTGTTTCCTTTCTAACAAATCTTTGCCTACTCCAAGTTCATGAAGATAGTTTATTTTTTTCTTCTAAGATGTATTATCTTTGTCACATTTAGGTCTGCTTGCATGTCTCAGAGCAGTAGAAAGCAATACTATCAGTTGTGAGGAAGAATTATGGGGAAAGTACTGGAGGTTTGCTAAAGAAGAGAAGGTATAGAAGTCATCTTGAAGAATGGGAGATTGGATCACTAGGGAAGTACACTATGATTGCCAGAAACCAGTAAGTATACACTTGAGGTTTCTGGTTATAGACTTCGAATCATGAAAAGTCAGAGTAGTTTGTTTTTCTGCAGTCTTACTCAGGTGCACAAGTACAGGCACAGAGTAGATATAGAGATTTCACCAGGGTTGTGTTTTTTCCAAGCAAGTATAGACAAAATGGGAGAGGGGCAAGTGGCTGAAAATGTATGCGGGAAGTGATTATAATGCCTGGCTTTGGAATTTGTCCTTTTTAAGGAGGAAAAAAGATAATATTGGGATATCAAGGATCCTGAAAAGGATTGGAGATCCTAGTAAGATTTAAATATTGTTGAAGTTGAGATATTAAAAGGGAGTGATCTGAAAAGATAAAACGTGGTTTTCAGAGGGAAAGGGTAGAATGAAATGGGCTAAGGATATGATCTTTGGAATCAATGACTAAGATAGGGTAGGGTGGGAATGTGTATATTAAGTGAATTTAGATACTGTATTAGAAAGGTTAGGGATATACTTATTCAATGAGTATATACTACAAATAGTCCAATTTTATTTGTAGTGTTAGTTATAGTAAGAAATATAGGTACGATGCCTATTTAAATATTCTACAAAATATTTTAGCAAAGTAACTTTTTAAAAATTTAATTTTTAACTTAATGTATTTTTCAGGTAAAAGGATAATATATTCAGTGCATTTTAATGGAATGAGATTTTAA